TCAGTAAAGACATGAAGAAGCTGTTTGAGGCTGAGCTGAAGAGGGTCCAGCAGTATGCAGTGGATGTGACTCTTGATCCTGATACAGCACATCCTAAACTCATCCTGTCTCGTAATGGAAAACAAGTACACTGTGGTGATAGAAGGAAGAAACGTCCAGACAACCCAGAGAGATTTCTTGTGTTTCTTTGTGTTTCCGGAAAGCAGAGTTTCTCTTCAGGCAGATTTTACTTTGAGGTTCAGGTTAAAGAAAAGACCAGATGGATATTAGGAGTGGTCAGAGAGTCAGTTAACAGGAAGAAAAAAATCACACCGAGTCCCGAGAAAGGTTACTGGACTGTAGGAGTATATGAAAACATTTGTGTAGCTTTTGAGGATCCTGAAGTCCGTCTTCCTCTTCAGTCTGGTTTTGAGAAGGTGGGGGTGTTTGTGGATTATGAGGAGGGTCTGGTCTCCTTTTATGATGCAGATCATGCAGCTCTTATCTATTCCTTTACTGGCTGCTCCTTCACCGGGAAACTCTACCCATTCTTCTGTCCCGGGGTCAATGATGATGATAACTCTGCACCTCTGATCATCTGTCCTGTCAATCAGTCAGTTCGATCTTTCTACATGAGGAAATGTGAATAATTACAGATTCATCTCAACATTTAAGCCAACACAAAGAAGAATGGTTGCCTTAAATGTTGCAGAACAAGCTAATAAGCTGACCTTTATTTTATTGTTTTGTTAAACTGCTTACACTGTTTACCCAAGAAGTCCAATCTGACTAAGAACAAACTCTCCTTTTCTCTTTTTTCAGTGTTTAAAGACAAATATACTGATTTGTCATTTTTGCTTAAATCACTTGCACTACTTAGAAATGTGCACACATAAGATTAAAGGAATGTGAGGGGCACCTGATATCAGTCACGACCACTTCTTAGCTCAGTTCCTGCAATACAAGCAGTTTTTCCCCAGCAGTTTTAACCAGTCAAATAGATGCTCATGCTCAAATAAAAATTTGTGAAGTTCTAAGAGTGGTTACCCTCTTTTTGGTAGTTGGCCACAGCTGATTGCTCACAGACTGTGGCTTCCATGTACATGTTCCATGTGCATCTGATCACCCAATGCTTTAATAAATAATAATTATAAGCAAAGTGTTTTGGCTGGTGATTCCTCAAGGTGGAGAAACGAACACAAAAACAAAACATACTGTCGTTTTATTAACATGTACTGTCACGTCTGATGAGGCAGACAGCATGGAGAGGAGAGAGTGTGGACCCAATTGCAGACAAACAGATGAATATACGGAGGATCAAACTGAAAGCAAACTTTTATCGGTAGCTGTACAAATATGCTACAAGCAACTAACGAAAGGGAGAACTGAAAACATTAACAAACCTACACTGGGAGAAGCTAACCAAATAACATGAGGAGCGTAGAAAACATAATTAAAACCTGAAACTGAGAATGAGGAGCCTGAGAGATGAAAAGCAGGGGAGACACAGAGGATGACAAGCAGAGGTACAGCAGGTGGACATGCAGACAACAGAGGCAAGCACACACTATGTATACACACACACATGGGGAAAAGAGGAAATGGCAGACAAGCAGGGAACACAGCTGAGACCAATCAGACAAGACGAGAAAACGGGGAACCAAAACTGACCCCGGGATGGAAGACTCTCAAATGTAAAACAGGAAACACGAATATTGAACCAAAAACACTAGACACAACACAAGGGACACCTAAACACTGGAATTAATTAACAAATAACCAGAAAAAACTAACTAAATCAGTGAATATTAATCAATACAAAACATAAACAAAGAGACACTAGACTCCATACCATGACAACAACAAACTTGTTCAGAATGAAATGACTAAAAAACTTTTATCATCTCTTTTTTAATTGTTTTTTGATGATCCCCAGCTGGTAAACTTCGGTTTTCTTACCCCTGCGGTGATAGGAGAAAAGGCTGCTGTAAGCCTTGAAAAAAGACCCATAATTGTATCAATAATATTATTAATATGACCATAAAATTCATAAATACACTTGTAAGAGAATGTTTTGGATTATTTGGAGCATTGAAATATTATTGAGACACAGCCCGCTAACACCTTCAACTCATCCTTTTTACTTCTAATGCCTGTCATTCGTTCATGGTGCAAATGTGAAGTTGTGGTATTTAGGCATTTAGCTGGCTAAGTTTTGATTCATTATTTTCCCCTCTGATGTTCAGCCTGCACAGCCTGCACTAAGATGACAGCTGCAAAAGTAAATGCAGCACTTTGAGTGAAAATCCAGCAAAATGTGCTCTGGGCCACTTTAACTCCTGGCTAATGGCCTCTTTGCCTCTTTCATCACAGGATTGCCTTTCGTGCATCGCCTAATCAAGGTTGATGTTTGAATTCTTGTAGTGACATGAAATCATTTCCCTTGAAGTCAAATGAATAGTAATGAGCCCATTTTAAAATTGGAAGAAGTAGAAACTAGAAATATTTGTTTAAAAATGTAGGGAGCAAATGTAAAAGGTAGACAGGAAAATAACTACTCAATTAAAGTACAGATACCAGAAAATTTTGTAACAGTACAGCAACAAAGTTTTTGTACTTCATTAGGGTAAAGGGAAATTAAACCCTGACCTCTATAAAGTCTTCAGTCCCTCATGTCTTATACTTTCTTATTTCTGCTATTTAAATAGTTAAAAATGAACGCAGACCTGATTCAAAATAACCAGTAAGTCTTTTTCTTCTCTGGCGTCTCTTACTCTAACATAACATGAAGATGGTTATCATCAGAATAAATCAACCCATAATTTATTAGTCTGACTTTGAGTATGTTCACATGAACAAAGTTTTTATTGAGTTAAATTCAGGTGCTACTGAAATGTGAATTCATGGAGGCGTAGATGCAGTTTTAATATCAGGTCACAAAGTTAGAGGCTCAGATGCTGTTTTGGACGAAACTCTTGTGATACAAAGACACGTACACACTGTTACAGGGTTGTTCTGTGCAGGTTTCCAGCTGACCACCAGGGTCTGCGTGCAGCTGGAGTCCACGATAACCTGGCATATGCCCTCTTAGCACCTTACCAGCATCAGGTACTTTCCTCGAGGGGGGGGATGGGGGAGCTGGCGACACAGAATAACGGTTAAAGGCTTGCTGTTGCCAGCCTGTTAAGCAGGAGTGCATGTTAGTGGGGGACCGTTGGTACAGAAATGATACCATCAGAGAAACTGAATTCTGAAGCGCTGGGGAAATCCCAAAGACTCCACCCGTATGTTGTATGTTGATTTTAGCTCTGCTTTTAATGTGTTACAGCATCATCTCCTTTTACAGAACCCAAGTCAGATCTCTCCCTCTCCACTTATTATTAAATGCTTTTAATTCTCTTTAACAGACAGAACTCAGAATTTTAGGGTGAAAAATATGTGCTCCATCAGCACTGGTGTGCCTTATGGCTGTGTTAGCTCACTAGTCCTGTTTACTCTTTATAATCTTTATATTTAAGTGTACACTTCTTCCCACTCCTTGTAAATATGTAACTGAATCAGAACAGGTGAAGCAATAGTGAAATCTATTTTGCTTCAGTTTGTATAGCATTTTTCTTTTCTTTTCTTTGCTAAATAAAATTTGTATATTGTTTCCATGATTGAAATAAAAATTAACAAACAAATGATTGTAACTCAAATAACTTTATTTTCAGATTTTCTGATGACAAACTTAGCCTGCTATACGAGAACACAGATCCCTCAGTGCACTTCACTGAGGCAAACATGAGAATTGCGGAGTGTTTGATGCCAGCACACTAAGCACGATGAATCAAGACTTTCAAAATAACACAGGAAACATGACGAGATGCAGACATGACATGAACTTGATAACATGGACCACGCAGTAAAGAAACACATGAGGGGCGAGGGTAACTTAAACATAGGGAAGGACGACACAAGGGGAATCTGTTAATAAACTACAACAAGACAACCAAGGCAAAATAGAAATGAGCTTGGAATACTGAATGAGACTGAATGAATATCAAAACATAAGAAAACTTAAAAACACTGGGTCGCACGACCCAGGACCATGACAACTAAATTGATTGTTTCGTGAATGTTGTTTATAAAATGATTTATTTTGCTTTTCTTTTAATGTTTATTAACTCTTTGTGGTGGGATTTGTTTTCCAGATTCAATATTTGAATATACTTGAGTTGAGGCTTCATATCAAACAGCAGGCGACTCACTTTCTTTGATTCCATCATAAAAAATTGTTTTGCTGTTTTTCCATAAGTGTGCAAGATAGTCTTTGTTTGTCTCATCACTGTTTCAGCTGCTTTTAAACACTTTTAATGATGTTCTGACACTCTCAAGGACCAAAACAAAGGTCTGAATCCTGCTACTTCCTCTTTCCTGGTGCTCGCCACTTGTGTGGGTGTCTTGAGCGTTCTCCACATGGCGCTGCTTATCTGCCAGGATGCTCTGTGTGCAATGTTCCCTCTAAGCTGCACGCGTGCGCAATTGCGCACTGCTGGCACGGTCTCTGCGCACAGAAAATCTGCGTTGCGCACAAAAAAAATCTAACCTGAATTGAAATTAAAATTTCAACAATTCTGTTTTGCAGTGTTAGTCAGTGAGTGACTGGCTGCTCTCGTATGGGATTAGAACGATGCCACCTTATCCCATAGTCCAGCCAATAATGCGATTCACATTCGTATATAGCAGCTAATTAACGTCGTAGACAGGCTATGACAGCGTCCTTATGTGCCGACACCGGTGTTTTAGCTAGCAAAGCGGCTGATGTGGAGTGAAGCCACGTTAATGACAACATGTACAACGATTGGAGATGTGAGCAGGACAGACGGAACAATTGACGGAGAAAGTGTGGACTTTGAACCAGTTTTTAAATTGTGTTGATAGGCCACGTAAAACCAGAGTTATGATAAAAAAAAATGCAATGTTTGTTTTCTTCCTGAATACTATCGTTGTTTATATTTACTGCGGGAAGAAACGTTCTATAAGAAAAAACGCTCGAAAGCGCTCTCCGCCTGTGAGCAAAAACAAAACCAAAAACACCCCACCTTTTCCTATTGGTCGAAAAAAGTACCATGTCGACCAATCAAAAAATGATATGGCAAGTTGTTAAGAAACGGGGGGAAGTTTTAGGAGTGACGGCGGTGTTTTGAGATGTGAGAGATTTGCGACATAGCGCAAATCTTATGTAGTAAGTCTGTAGTGTAGTCAATAGTTTTGTTGTGTGTGTCAGAACAATGAGGCGACTGCTGAATGTTACAGGTGTTACAGGAGTGATACATCTCCTGTTGTCAGGCCTGCAGGTATCAGCCTGTTGTTCTCCTTTATGTGGACAGAAATTATTTTTGGAGTGGCACAAATAATTTGTGTGGCATCAGATTTGATGCAGAACAGCTGATTGCACTGTAAATAGTTTGAAATGTTTATTTAAAAAAACACCTTGGCTGCATTTAAAAAAATAGCTGCAAAAAACTTTGTTGTTTGCCAAACTGAGGTACTTTTTTGAAGAAGTAACTATATAATTAATTGCCCAACATCATTATATACTGTATTTTGCAGACAGAGTTACAGGACTCTCTCCCAGACCACAGACTCAGACTCGTAATACAAGTCA